ACTGCCACCAGTCTGCTTGTACCTGGCACCCTCTGCCCCAACATCGGAGGTCCGCTTTCAGCCACTACGCCCCGAAACTCTGGAACACCCTCCCCCCGCCTTTCCTCTCTCCCCCTTTTCAATTTCTGCGTGAACACCTTTCTTCGACCGTGTTTACAGCCACCTTCCACTCCCCCCCCCTCCCCCCCCCCCCCCAGCTCCGCCACTGTTAAGCGCTCTTAGCTGCTACCCTGTGTGGAGGGTGCTGTATCAGTCCAAGCTGTTGTTTGTTGTTGTTATGTTATCTGGTTCAGTAAATGAGTTTTAGCCTGGTTCAAGTAGCATTCTCGCCTCTGGGTCAGAGATAAGTTATATCATTCAGTCTTGACGATTAATCACATGAAAGATTCAGCAAAAGCACCAGGCTCTACACTCAAAAGTTCTCAAAAGTAGGATTTATAGCAGCTACATGAGACATCATGGAACCCTTTTTGACATAGATGCTGAAAAAAATGAGAATGATTCATGCCAAAACACTTGCTCATCATTCTTAAAACTTCATTTGTTGTTCTTAATGACCTGCATTATAATTAAACTGACACCAAACAATACACTCTACTATCTGTGCAATTGTTTCAAAGATGCATGTTTTAGGAGAGAGAGAACAGGAATACAGTGAAGCTATTTTTTAGAATCGGGGTTATGCTTGCATCAGCTGCTGAATCTGGAACTGTGAAAGTGAATCATCTTAATTTATATACAATTGCTTCTTTCTTAATGATTTGAAATTGTTCCCATATATATATAAAAAATTCTAATGGACAATACTTGCTACTTTGTTGAATGGCAAGCTGCTTGGCTCCTTTTGACTACAGTACCTAAGATCCAGTTGCTGATCCATTGTAGCTGTATATAGTTGAAAACAGAATATGTTCTGTTAGAATCATCAAAAAGAAACTGTACTAAGAAGTAAGAAAACATTGTGGTAGGAGTGTGATAAATAAAACAAAGTCTTAGAAAGACGGACTACTGAGACCGATGCAATTCATTGATGATTTGAAATGTTGGGAATTCTGTGACAGATTTATTTTATGCTGTGAACAATTTTGACCTTGTAGTCTTCATGCATTTGAAGCCAAAGGAAGCAGGAGTTTAGATAGAATTGAGTGCCACAGATTGCAGCCAATCTTTAGATCTGTTTCAATTGGACTTGTTGACAGAAAAGGTGTCCTAACATACACAGTCACAGATACTTGAATATCACTGAAATGCTAGATTTTCTCTGGCTAGTATTAAAGGGAGCTTGATACTGTCCAGACCTTCCTGTGCTGGGAAGAACTGGAATTGTTTTTGAGTTAACCTTCCAGTGAGGGTGCCTTTGAGCATCACCATCCAAGGATGCACACTCCACCTTACTAAGCCAGTCCAGAACCTTGGTGTCTTGTTTGACTCTCAACTATCCTTCCTACCACACATCTGTGCCATGTCCCGTTCTGCCTTCCCCCACCTCCACAACATCGCCCAGCTCCGCCACTGTCTCACACTTCAGGCCACCAAAACCCTCATACATGCATTTGTGGTGTGGACTTGTGCTTCAAAGGAACTGAGTTGGCAGATGTGATTTGCATACAGCTACAAATTCATCCCACAATGCTTGTGTGAAGGTGCATGACTGACCAATTTTATTAAAGTAGTCAGAGAACTTTCATTTAGATATGCAAGCAATACATTGTTTAGTACCTGCTTTGGCATTGGTTAAACCATCATTGGGATTTATATTTTATTCAGTGGCAGCAAAACACACAACATGCAGCTTCCCGAGACAATGAGTGCTGGATTTTCTGCCCACTTCTAGTGGGAGCGGGAAGAACAAACCTGTGTAGATCAGTGATGATTTTTGCACTGCTGGCCTGAACAGACTTTCATCAAAGTGATGGGAAGGTGTGTGGTCAGAAAATGAAGTCTGCATTAGTCATTTTGACAGAATTGCTCACAAAAGAGTCACAAAATGCACATGCAGTTTATGTTGCAGTGGATTGCACCCCACTAGCTAAAGGTTCTGCAGTACCCTGAAATATAATTGAAGCGTTGGGTAATACAGTTTCCTTTGTGGACTTTGGTACGGGCTTATTTGATTTCTTAGAACGTGCTATCAAACTGAATCTTTCAATTCTGTACCATGTGTCAATGACTTGGGAATGAAAGTGGATGATTTTGTAATGTTCAATATTTATATAGCTGATGGCTTCTCGCCAATATTTATCCCAGTAGGGATACCAATTTAGAAAATAAACTGGAACACAGGTTAATAATATTCTTTTGAAAAAATACCTTATTTGGCTTGTATCTCTCCTTGAATAAATCTTTCATGAAACGATGGAAACATTTTCACAATGCAACTTTTGGCAAACCTATGTTGCATTTAATATAGCACTTTTCACATCAGTAGGACATTTCAACATGGTTCATATGATTTTCTGTAATATGTAGTGACTGTATTTTGTAGGCAAATACTTGCATCGTATGTGTATTCTGTTGGATCTCTAAACTTTGTTTTTGGCTTCATACTACTGCAAGTTACATTTACTGTATATTGTTTGCTGAGAGCATCTAGTGGTTCAAGTATTGTACTACAATGGTGTACAATGATACTACATATTTTGCTGTAAATCTGCAATGTTGCACTCATAACTAAGAGTTGAAGTCCACATTGAAGGATATCACCAAGGATGGGAAGAGTATCAGTACTGGGGAGTGCTCTATTTTTGGAGGTGTTACCTGTCAGATATGACGTTTAACTGTTTCTGTCTAACTGTTCAGGTGAACAGTTTTATTAAAAGAAATCCTATGACCCTATTTGAAAAGTGAAGGGAGTTCCTATTAGATGGAACATCCAGGGCTTCTGGTTATCATGCAAGGCATATTGCTCCATGTCCGCAGAGCAATAATTACACAATGGACACTGACATACTCAATCCACGACTATTGGTGGAACACTGCTTTGCGAGTTTCGTCACCACAAAATATACAGTCAATTCACTTTACAGTATATTGTGTGAAGTGCTTTGAGATGTCTTGAAGATGTGATAAGGCGCTATATCAATGCAATGCAAGGATTATTGTTATGTACACTATGGTCAAATATGTTGGACCCCACATTTGTAATTAAAGAATTAATGTCTCATTGAGCTATTGAACGATCATGCTTGAAACATTAACCGTTCTTTTTCAAATGTGGGTTTGAATCCTCCTGCTTCAAATCCCCTGCCCTATCCACCCCACCATCAGTGGATGTGCTTTCTGCCATTCGGCCCCTGCCCTCTGGAACTCTCTTTGAGTCCCTCTGACTTGCTCCCTCCCTCACTTCATTCAAAGTCCATCTCTATTCTGCACTTTGGGGCATCTCCTTCCTCCCCACCCCCTTCAACTCCCACTCCTAGCTCAGGTATCAGCCAGAAGTGTCGAGCGCTTTGAGAAGTCTTCCGAATATGCACTTTGAGACGTTTAGAAGACATGAAAAGCGCTATATCAAATGAAAGGATTATTATATAAATGCAAATTTTATTGGATTGTTTGTTCTGCTGTGGAATTCTATAGTTACAATTTTTACTTCAAATTTTCATATGCTGCTTTTGTTTATTTCTATATTGCTGATTTTTTTAATATAAGGCTCATGGAATGCTCCAAGAAAGTTTTCAACATTTTTTTCATTCTAATTCATACCTAATTTACTGAAATTTTAAATATTTGTGCTCAGTCCTATATCGTAGAAACATGTACAATACTATGGAGTTGGTTGTAATGTAATCTAGTTTGCAACAATATCATCTACATTTATATAATGTCCTTCACATAATATTACACTTCACAGTTGTTGGATGCCAAGCAATGTAGAGGGGAAGGAAGAGATGACCATAAATGAGAGTCAAAGCTGCATGTAAAGTCAGATGGGGGGAAAGATAATGATAATAATCCTTACATTTGATATGGCGCCTTATCACGTCTTCGGGACACCTCAAAGCGTTTCACAGAATATAATGAAAAGTGAATTGACTGTATGTTTTGTGGGCAGCCAATGGCACACAGCAGTGTCCCACAAACAGTCGTGGAATAAAGTGACAAATTAATCATTTTTTTTGGAGTAATTATTACCCCGGAAAAGCGATTCACCAATCGACTTAACAACTGGGTTTCTACTTATTGATAGGTAAGCAGAGGCATACGGGGTAAGGAAACTTGCCCAACATTTTGCCCTGCCAGGAATTGAACGCAGGACTGAGGACTCCATGATGGAGGGGTAGAGGGAGGGAGTTTCAGAGGCTAGGGGTATTGTCACTGAAGGCTCGCCACTGATGGTGCTGAGGGGGAAGCAATAGGTGGAGCAGACCTGAGATACTTGAGGGGGCGGGGTAGTTGTTTTGAAGATTGGGGTCAGAGAAGGTATTGAGATGGTGAGGTTCATTGGTGTACAGTAACTGAAGTTGAGGGATCTTTTGTTCAAAGAAACATAAATTTCAGCACAAGAAACTGTTACAAACAATTGGTTGATCCACATAAATAGTGTCTACTGCAAGTGGGTTATTTCACAACAAAAATGTAGTGCATGTAAAAAAATGTTATCCCTAAAAGAATTGCTTTTACGAGAAGTGTTAACTTAAATGGCCCTTGCAGTCAGGTGAATTTGCCACCCCTGAGTTAACTTATTTGAATGTATATGTTTACTTGAGATGGATTTAAGCTTGTTTGATGGTTTTGTATGTTAATCTCCCAATACATTTTTTTCATAAACCCAGAGTATTAAATATTCAACCAGAATTATTGTTAGAGTATTTCGTATTAGTCATCTGTCTGTTTCATTGGTACAGCAAACTTCTAGTGGTTTTTATTTTGCATATTCTTGTCTTAGGCTCCCAAGTCAAGAATTTTCTTCTGTTCTGATTCTTTGCCTTGAGTTTGATAAAATGGTTGGGTTTGTTTTGCAGCTGAAGATGATGTGCTTTTCTTTTCTTTACCTTCCACAGAACCTTAACATAAAAACTTTGGCGGACGATGTGGTAAGGCCTGTTCAGGAATCTTATCTATCTGCCTGAGTTACCAAATCATGCATGATGAAAACTGAGGCGATTAACATAATTTGACAATACTTTGGGGCACTGATTAAAACATTTAATTTTGTTTGTTCTGACTTCAGAAATAACCAATTACTAATCGGAAAATGAAAAACATTTTCTTAGCTTTGCTTAATTGTTCAAACTACTCTTACTTAAGATAATGTACTTTTACTTAAAGATAATGTACTTTACTGCAAGAATGTAATAATCAAAATATAACTTTTAAATATATTTTAAATGAATTAAAGAGATTGTTTTGATAATTTCCACCCCCTTTCTATCTTGAGTTTCACTGGAATACAATTCCAGAGGCTGTTGCCTCTGGTACTTTGCTCAAGTGACAATTCTTGTGTGTGTCAGGAATTTGCACCAATCTATACCTATTCTAAGTCTGCACGTTACAACGTGGACCACTGGAGTGCAATCAATGGCTAATTTTTTTTTTGACTTTGACCGGAAAGTCAAATTGTGTGACCGATCTGTTGCTTTGGTTAAGATTAGCTACTTCAGCATTGTCCAGAAATTCAACCTACAGTGTGATCCCTATGGGCAAGCTAATCATAAATATCCAAACCAATGTACTGGAAAAAGTAAGTAGAATAAAAAGGATGGGTGTGGGGAGAGGAACCATGACTGTCAATCTGTAAGTGGGGGAATATGCATTAGTGGGTGAGATTGCATTTATCTAAAATGGTTGTGGGTGAATTAGTTTCTCTCTGTCATCTTTCCCTTCCAATAATTGGTGAACATCATACCAAACTGGGTGGACCAACTTGTGTGGTAACATTTCTGAGGGATTTTAATTGTCAGAGATTATGTGAGCTCTTGCACTAACTTGCTCAAAGTTCAAGCATCCATACAGTACATTGCATGACTATAACAGTTTTCAACGACCCTATCAAGATATGTTTTTACTAAAATTCACCATTTTGGTAATAAAATTGAGCACCTATATAAAGTGGACTTGTAGAAACTTTAAAATGAATTGAAGTTACTCTTTTTCCATCACAACCTGTTGTGCTATTTTAGTATGTTCATTATCGTTGCTAATAATAGAATATCTGTGTGATTTTATCAATAGTCATGATTCTTAATGAATTAATTCAATTTAAAATCTAAATTCAATCATCTGACATTGGTCCAAAGCGTTATCTTTCAAGATAGATTCGCTCTACTGTGAACGCTGCATGTTTTCTGTAATACTCTATTGTGTGCTACCCAGCTGTTGTATATTAAATTAGCAGGCAAAAATTTTCATATGGTTCAACAATAATACATAGCAGTCAACCCAGATAAGGTCTGTAATTATGAATCCTTATCTGTTAAGAGACATATTAACTTTAATTTTGTGAACTATGCTTTAACCATGCATGTCAATTTCAACTCCTAATAATGCATATGTACACTGCATGAAAAATTTGTTGATACAGCAATGTTGTATTGTTCTGCGCAGCTGCATTATTCATAATCGTGGTTCTGATATTTACAGTAATTGTAGAATGGTGATGTAAGAATTTTTAAACTGGCTAAATTGCTTTATTTTTCACTTTTCATGTGTGGTGCTGTTGCACCTTTCACTTTCTCTGATGGCATGTGGAGAGACACTTAGCTTCAGTTCTCTGGAATTCTTTCCCAAAAGCTTCCTGCCTCACATCCACCCTCTCCAATTTCAAAACCCTTACAAAAATTTACCATTTTGTGCCTTCAGTTATCTTTACCGAATTCCTTCAAAGTCCCCACTCAGACTCCCACTTTAAGATATTTTCCTATGCGAAAGGGCAAACCAGTTCAGGATTCAGTTCTACCATTGCTCCATTGAGAAGACAGATAGGGATCGACTCTCAGGCTCATTTTTGCCAGGACGACTTACTTAAAATAGTAAACATCCACCCAACATCTCCCTGATGTGAAAAACTGGCACATGAAACTTCACTCTTCCACTGCATGAAGTACCAATACAGTATGAAACACAGCTCCTTCAATGTGGGCTCCTTAAATTGTGCATCTACTAGAAGTAAATGGCACATGGCCCTGGAAGCTTCAGTATAATTGTTTAATTCAATCTATTGTCAAACCTAATAATAAACTTTATTGTGAGTTCTCAAGGTTTAAGATCCTTAAATGATTATCTGAATTGAATAAAACTGCACTTGGACCTGGGCAAACATGTTACAGTACCTCTACGGTTATATACGATATTCTCTGAAATTCTATATAACTAAGCTTTTGAGTAATGTGGAAACAAAATCTTAAAAACTGTGATTGTTCTTCTGGAAATTGGTTAGCAACTTATCTTATGGTAATCTAATTTAGCTTCTTTGCAAAATTGCATGAATGACTGGTTTTATAGTAGTCAGACAAAGGCCACTGAGATGACTTTTGTGAGAATGGTGAATTAATCTATTTGTTTATTTTGACAGCGTGATAGATTAACAAGTTTTCGAAAGTCAGCTACCAAAAGAGAAAAACCTCACATACAGCATCCTACTGATTCACAAGCAGCTATGAGTGATTTGCCAATAGCACAGCCAGTATTTGAAGAATGCTTTATGAATCTTTCTGAGAAAGAGATTTTGGATCTCTTTGAAAAAATGATGGTGAGTACTGTAGCTTCACTGAATTTCAAAGCTGTAATTGCTTAAATGTTTTCAAAATATTTTGGAGCCCAGCGGAACATATTAACATTGCACATTAGCTGATTGTAGTTCAATGATTAATCATAGTTATCAGTTTATAGTTCAGCATTTATATAAATCATTTGTAGTACAAATGTGATAGCATATGACTTGATGTTTTACGATGTTAAATGCAGTATTTATCACAAGCAGCAATGACCTGTTCATTGTAAACTGTTATATTTTGCCAATTTAACTATTGGATTATTTGGGGTCAAAGACAAACTTTTTCTGTCTTTATATGTTTGCAACTGTCTTGAGTATGGTCATGATTTTGTTGTTACTGATTCAACCTGTTGATGACAAGTGTAAAATCGAAATGAGAAATGAAAAGCTGTTCTATTTGTAGCCAGTTAATAGAGGACCTTATCTAGGTAAATTGGCTTTGGGGATGTCTGCAAAGTGAACAAAAAGATCCTTAATTTCCTTTCTCCACTTTTGCTTATTTGGGGAATTTATGCAATTTATTTAATTAAACTTTATGTATGGTACTAGTGACAGTTTATCACCTTCTTTGTTCAATTTCATGATCTCTAGCACTTAAAATAAACATCCTTTAGTAGTTGGGTTATCTTTGTGATTCTGTCTTTAAATCATTATGCTGTAGATCTGAGCTCATAAACTGTAATTCAGAAACTAACTTTAAAAAGTAGTTGATTTAGAATGCCTTATTATCTGTTCCAAATGCTGATCTCCGCAATACTTGTTTTTAATGAGCTAATGATGAGTTTGACAGGATGCCAACCATTGATAGTGCCTTGGATTATTTTGTCATTTTGCCAGGGTATTTCCTTTGAGCCAGTGGGTGGTATTTATTTCACTCTTTCCTTCTCCCCATAGAATATTGTTTAAGGTATACAGTATTTGAATGCTAAGTTTTATAATTTCTATTTTTGAATTGCTAGAATTGCTTTGAATTTGTTGGAAGCAGAAGTCTGTTTAAAAGTGACAAATCCAAATGGAGCTCAGAATTACTCACAAAAGCTTGTTCGTTTTGACATGATGGAAGAACTTTGAAGTTATGCAGTGGCTTTCATAAATATTTGGAAACCTGAGGATTGAGTGTTCCAAGAGTGCCTAAATTATTTTAGTTTTGAAACTTGAGGTGGTTGCAGGTACAAAATGCAGGGTAAGAAGGTCAACATTGCCTGTTTGTTTTATTATTGTCCAATTTAATAAGAGATAGAGGGAAAAAGTTAAATTGAGCTTCCGACTTTAAAAAGCTATGTTGGTCGTGGCCTGCATCTATTGGATGAACTTTTAAATATTTTCCTTATAATTCTTTTAACAGGAAGATATGAATCTCAATGAAGAGCGCAAGGCCCCACTACGTGGAAAAGATTTGTGCACAAAGAGAGAGATGGTTGTGCATTACATCTCTGCAACTGCCAAATCTGTAAGTTCTTTATAAAAACAAAGATTTTTATGAACAAACGGTTAAATGACATTTCTCAATCATTACATTATAATAACCTTAGCATGATCTGCTTTTGCTGAGCACTAATCCATGATTGCTGCCTAAATGTTCTCCTTTTGAGTGCTTAAAACTGCTGCTTAATAAATGTGGTTTAAAAGTGCCTTGGACTGTGGATAAATTGCTCATGAGGATTTGGCATACATCATACAAAATACTCTAATCTGAAACATGACTGTTTCATTAATATAAACCAGTAATACCTCTCAGTGTATGCCTCGTAGTAATGTGTAATTTTTAAAGCTTGGTTAATGTATCTTCAGCATGGAGTTAACTGCATAGAAATATCCGTTATTCACCTTTTTGCAAATCTAAAATTTGATTTAATTTGGCCATTCATTCTCAAATTTAAGGGTTAAATAAGAAATACGAACAGAATAACCTATCCCTCACATTTCACAATTGGATATGAGCTTTTTCATTAACAATTCCTGTTTTGAAGATTTTAACTAAACTATTGGACCATTAGTTTAGGTGACAATGTCGATTATCTATGACAGTTTTTGTAGCCGACTGTGAGTAATATAAAGTTTATGAAAAACAATGTGGCGATAGCTGGAGCAAGTAATATTTGAAGTCAAAGGAATATTGTCCTCACATTATATCTTGTGTGCAAGTTTCAAAAGATTTTTTTGAACAAGCCAGAACTATAGTTAGTTGAGAATGTTCCTGAGCACAAATACTGTGATATTGCTGGAGTATGAAAGAAGCTATTTTAATTTGATTTCAGTATCCAAAGGCAAAAATATGTTTTCAGTGATAACGGAAATTTGCTGTAAGCATGAACAGACATTGTTACCAGCAGAATTATGCCATGCATGAGCTTTTGCTTTGAAAGACTGAATTTTTTTTCTGAATTCCTCTGCTGGAGTCAAGAAACAAAATGTCTCAGAAAATAACATACATGTTGTGCTAGATCCTGAGCATTTTTTCTTGAATGCATAAAGGTAGGGTAAAACTTGGTGGTTGAAAAACTGTTGAAATAAATGGTTATTCATTCATAGATATTTAAATGAGAAATGTTGAACCAACCCATTTTTACAGGATTTGAGCAGCTTCCCACATCAAAATCACTTTCAAAATTTGTTTTGAAGTTCCAAAATAGACACACAGATGTTAGTGTTGTGAGTTAAACAACAGTCTTAGCTTTCTGAATGTTGTGCTTAAACATAATCAATGAATGTTGTTTTGATAATGATCACCAGATGAGACAGGGTTTGCGAAAATATTGGAGACAGAAAGTGCCACACTGGCTAGTTTCTCCCACATTAACTATATAGATTCTTAGATGAATGCAAAACATCCAAAATCTTAGGCATTGCATAAGTATAGAGACAAAAATGTAATTCTGTTCCTCAGCATAATTTTTGAACAGTACTACTGTTTGGAGGTTCTGAATTGTGCTTGTAATTTATATTTCCCTTGCATCCACCTCCTGTTTTAGTTGCTCAAAACCCTTTTCATCAAAGATAGTATTATCATTTATTTGTATGAGCTCAATATCATATCTATGCAAAATCCATGCTGCTATCTCTAAGATTCTGCAAAGCTTTGCTTGCCTGTGGATAATATGGGACAGGAACATTTGTTTGCCTCAAGCATTTTTCTTTAACTATTTGCCCTTGCCAGAATTCAAAACTTTTAAAAATTGGTATGTCATGGCAAAGGCAAATTTTAAATTTCCCATCGTTGCAAAGTCTTGCATATTGCACAGTGCAGAGCACATTTTATTCTTTATAAGCAGTATTTCTATGGTGCATTAGGTGGTGGATCTGAGTTGCTTTCTGCATTTTATACAAGAGAATTAAATGATTCAAAGTCATAATATGTAGTTTTAACTCTGAGAATTGAAGATTGACTTGAAAAGAATGTATGTAAATATTCTTGATTGAATTTAAAAGATGTCTGAGGATTAACTGTCACATGATTGGTTAGAAAGAAGCAATATAGAATGGAGTAATGCAGGAATATTTAAATAAATTAATCAGATTGATTTTCTTTTAAGCTATGAAAAAGCATTGTCCTTGGTTTTCTTTCAACCTTGGATGTTTGACAAAGAATTGGATCATACAATTTTGCATGTGAACCTTCCTTTTTTGATATTGCTGACTTTGAATTTGATGTAGGAACTAAGCCCCAAATCAGGAATTAAATTATTGACCCTTTTGTGCAGTACTTGAAGTACTGCATTGTTGGAGGTGATGCCTTTCAGATCAGGTGTTGCCAGTTCATTGGATAGTAAAAATCCAATGGAACTCAGATTTTTTTCTGGTGCTTTAGTTATAAAACGGTCCAATTCTTTCCTTTCTTAAACAATGGCCAATTGTCATAATTTAGCATAAGGAATAGAATTTAGAAAGATGTATCATGTTGAATGTTCTTTAATTATATAACATTTCAGTTTCAACAATTTCCTATTTTATTGAATATACCTTCAAAACCTAGCTGTAGTTAACTTGGTCATAATTTAGACACCAATTAGATGCATAAATCCTATTCTTTAGTTTGACAATTTTTTTCCGATAGCTTCATCTTTTGAGGTATTAGCATTCTCACCAAACATATTGACAAACTTAACATTAACTAAACTTAAGAATAATCCCCTCAGATATTTCAAAGCAGTGCACACACAGCTAACTGCATATTGTTATCAGGTGTCCAAGTGCTTTAATTCTGATAAATTGTAATGTGCATTAGTTGATTTTTTTTGTTGTATGTATTGGTTGAAGTAACTTTCTGCCCATTACGAATTCCAAATTCTTTGGCTAAATTATGCAAAAAATTATGAACAATGCCCATTTTAAGAAAACAAAGGACAATACTTTAAAACAAATTGGTAAAATTACTTTGTAGCAATGAACAATATTTTAGTTGTTTCTTAAAAATGGTCTGTATTACTCTTTCTATAACTTACAGCAGGTTTTTATAAGAATTGGCAGGTTTCACAGTTAATGGTTACCAAACTTTCCACAGAGATGTTAACAGTTAACATGTATTTTTTAATATTGGCGCTTGTTTCACAGGGAGTGAGCTTATTGTTAATAGATTAATTTTTGTAATATCCTTAAAATAAATTGGTCATGTACGGGATTATTTGTTCATTTTCATACAAAGAGCAAATATTTACTTTTTGGAGGACAATGTCAAATTACTGTTTACATTATACATTTATTCTCAATTTACACTGTATCAATAATATGATGCCATCTCATGCCCCTTAGGGGAGAAAAAGCTTCCTTTGTAGCTACATGTTCTAAAATATACAAAAAGTCATTATTATTTCATAAGAAATTAAATTTCAGGATGAATCAAACATAATAAAGCTATTTTAGGCATCCCAGGAAATCAGCAAAGTGGTTACAACAACAACCACAAAATTACATTGCAAAACGTCTTTCACATGGAGAGGATGTCCCATGGTGCTGAACAGTTGGGGATCAGGATCCCGCCGCTGATGGTAGGGCGGGTCGGGCAGGCGACATGGAGCAAGCCTAAGCCTGCTGAACAGGGAGCGGACAGGTTGATAGGGAGTCAGCAGGTCAGAGATGTAGGAAGGGGCAAGGCTGTGGATGGCCTTGAAAGTGAGGACTCGTATCTTCTGAGGGATGGGAAACCCGTGGAGCTGGGTGGGGGTGATGGGGTCACAGAGCCTGGTGCGGGAGAAGACATGAACTGCAGAGTTCTGGATGATCTGCACCTGTGGAGGGAAGAGCTGTGGAGGCCGACAAGGAGGGAGTTTCCATAGCCGAGCCTTGAGGTGACGAATGCGTGTATGAGGGTTTCGGCGGCCTGAGGGCTGAGGCAATGGCGGAGTCGCACAATGTTGCGGAGGTGGGGGAAGGCAGAGCGGGTCATGTCACCGGATATGAGGGAGAAAGGACAGTTGAGGGTCGAACAAGATGCCCAGGATCCTGACTGGTTTGGTGAGGTGGAGTGTGCATCCGTTGATGCTGATGCTGCCTGTGCCTGAGGTGCGGGGGTGTTTAAAACTAAATTTGATCACCTTGTAGTTTGCAGCCTATTCGTATCTATGCTGACTTCATACAGAATTTGTGGTGAACTTAACACTCAATGTTGAGCATCAATTTCAGCTTTTGAAATTTCAACCACAATTAAATTTCTTCTGTAATGCACATCAGTTTACATATATATTATTGAATGCACTTTGGTTCTAATCATGTGGTGCTGGTTCTTTTGTCGGTTGGCTAAAATCATTTCAGACAATTCTAGGCCATTCCCGAGCTTCGTAAAAATTAAGTACACAGATGCCACGATGGATTCCTGTACTGTATGAGAGTTTATATATAATTGCTCTCTTTCCCAATTCTTTAATGTGTGGTAAATGGCAGTGGAATATTGCTGTTTATTTTGTGTTATCTGGACCGCACACCCCCCCCAATACTATTTCAAGATCAAGTGTTCTCCTTGCTTGTATCCCTCTTCCAAATTCAACCCAGAAACTTCAGATTTAATTGGCTTCTTATTTTGTCTGTTGTGTTGCTGGTACAGAAAAACTGTCATGTTTGCCAATATATTACTTTATTTCTAATTGGTCTAATTTTCTGAAATGATTTAACTTTCTTTTACCTCCACCCTCCCTCTAACCCCCTACCATCCTGCCAGCTCCCTCCACTCAGCAAGCTCTGCCCATGTGGGCCTTCTGCTACTGTGCCCCCACCTTCGGGAATTCCATCCCACAGTCCCTCCTCCTCGACCCCTCCCTTGCCTCCTTCAAGACCCGTCTCAAGACTCTCCTCTTCGACCGTGCCTTGGCCATCCTCCTTCTTCCCTCCCCCGCCCTCCACCCTCCCCGATCCCGACCCAGCTGGGGTCCAAGACACTAACCGTCCAATGCCTTGGGACATCCTCCTGACGTGAAAGACATTATACAAATGTAATTTTGTTGTTGTTGAAAGGTGCACTATAAAAATATAACTTGCAGTTGGAATTAATCAATTTAAATTTTGTAGGAAAGCGCCTTGTCATGACATGGCTTGTCAAACATAATTTTATAACCTATTATAACACACCGATGTCAAGATATTGTGTCAGAATTACAGTTAGCACTTAGACATAAATTAGACATACTATTTGAAATACAGTTGAGATCAACAGTTTACAATCATCAATAAAATAGGAATGGGAATCTGAAAAGCTAGCCAATTAATATATCTTAAAATTAGATAAAATTTAATCAATAATCTGAAAATTCATGAATGTGTCAACTACAGCTGTATCTTAACAAGTAAGCATATAACAATGTTAATGCTAATAAAATGANTTTTTTGTCAAGTGAACAGAAATATGAATAACTCCACCAAAAACACAAGAATAACTAGCGCCAAATTTTTAAAACCAGTTGACTTAAATATACAATCACTTTCGTATATCACATACATCATTTGTTGGTTCTTTCTTGCTTCAAACCAGAGGGAATTTGGTTCCAAATGTTCCAATTTTTTAGAACCAGCCTATGGTAGTTCTGGAAATATTGCACAATGCAAAGGTTTGTTTTAAAGAAGATTGAATAACTACTTCCAATATATTGGTAATGTAGCTTCAGGTGGCGAGGAAGTTAACTTATTATTTTCAAACATTTATATAAAACTGTAGATTCAGTTCCCAATTCCCTCTGGATTGAAGTAAGAATGAACAAATGATGTATGTGATATATGAAAGTGATTGTATATTTCAGTCAAGTGTTTTTTGATTCTTAATCTTCACAAATATGCTTTGTCTTACTTGGAGGTAAACATAATTGAATTGACTATTTGAATGTTTGAAGCATTTTACTGTGAAACCTGCTGAAAGTGGAAATAAAACCAATTAAATATTGCCATAGTATGTTTGTAGATGCTAAAATGTACTCAAATTGAGAAGATAAATTCACAATTTTGAGAAATAATATCGTATTACTAATACTAAAAAACAGTTGAATTGATTTTCTGATTAAGAGCAATGTAAATTATGAGTTTACTACTAATATTGCTGTTTTTTTATTTTTGTTCTTACTTTCCCGCAACAATATTAATTTATTCTGCACTGACCTCTGCATTCAGATAACTGGTAGCAAGGTCTCGGTGAGTACTGCTGATGGTTTTATATTCATTATAATAGCTATAGATCATAGAGTTTGTATAAGGAATGATTTACTCCCAACACTCAAACTATAAATTAATTCATCACAGATGTACCATTCAAACAAATATATTTGAAAGCCAGAGATATTCAAACAAGAATAGAACTCTTGACGCCTCCATCAATTTAGTTATGAACCTTCACAGAAAATGTATTAAATGTCATCTTTTGTATGGTTATTTTACTAAACAGAACATTTTGCATGAGCACTTTTTAAAGGGACTCTGGCGTCCTCATATTATTCAGTAAATTGTATTTAAATATAGTACATTGCCTCATAAATTGTTTTATTTTTCACTACTAAACATTTAAGAATTTTTAAAAAATCATTAAAACCTGTTGGAAAGTTGAATTTCATTTTGAGTGAAACACATGTTCCTCTCCAGCCATTTTGTCCATGTGAACTTCAGAAAGGTGAATTTCTTCCTCACAATTTCAGGATCAGACAAATTATCAATTTGTGGAATGGAGTGGTAGTGAAATCACTCAGTATTAAAAACTGTTCTTTTGTGAAAATTTTCAATTTAGTGATCTTCCTTGCTATATACGACGATTCATTTTGGATTTTGGCTTTGGTTTTCCCCTGCATTTGGCATCAGATAATAAAAGTTCTCTTTTTTTCTGCTGTATGTCTTCAACACAAGAAAAGTTCAACACAGTTGGTATTTTGTTAGCTCTCAAAATTCTACATCTTCTGCTGCAGATTTTTGGCTTATAGGAAGCGAGTTATTTCACTCTGCACATATCTCAATTGTTCTCTACAAGAACTATTTCACTTGCAATGAAACTTCACAACATCCATCGTGACTCATTCAAACACTGAATGTGAACATTTATGTGGAATGCAATGAACCCTAAAAAACAACTGACTCTTGCAATGCCCGTCTTCTGTTTAACTTTTCAAAGTGAGAAACATGATCTCGTACGAGTCATTGTGACCAACTTGCCTTTTATGGCTGAATTTATCTTTGTGGCACATAGAGCTCAATATAGAAAGCACTCTTCCACTCCCAGGTCCAAAAGAGAATTGAGTGCAAGTATGGATTATTTGCAAAACTGCTTTCTTAAAGGATCATCAACCGTTCCATGTTGCCTCCTTTGATGTTGGGCCAGTGAAGTGGTCAGCCTTGATGCTGGCTAAAGTATAATACTAGAATTGCTAGGGGTCATCCATTGTAAAACTTTGCTCTGACCATAGGTGCTATAAGTTGTAATTTAGTGTACGTATACACCAGATGTATGTTTAAATTACGTTTTTTGAGGTGGACTGCAAAATAATTCATTGGCAAAATGTATCCAAGGAGCAGTTGTGGCATTATGACCAAGTAAGCTTTATTTGGTTCCTAGGGCATCAGAAGGGGTTCTGTTTATCTAGGCACTGCTAACTCCTTGAATATCTTCCAGATGTAGATGAAATGTGTTGTTTTTATGCTGAAGGAGTAGTCAGCAAAGCCACATCCCTAATGAAGAGGAGATTGATCAGCCCAGTTAACCTAAATTATATGTGCTACTACTTCAGGATTGGAGAGGTTTACAAATTTAATGATGACAGAGTGTACTGGGAGATGATGTCTTTCACAGGACATGGTATGCCCTGTTTCCTGAAAGGTGACTGTAAAGTGCATTTTGTTTTCTTAATGGTCCCTATGAAACTTGAATAGTTTAAGCAAGCTGAACATCATTTTGTTGAATCTACACTTCCTGTGCACTTCAACTAAATTTTCTCACTATAGTGAGAGCCTAAACAGGACCTTGTCATCACAAATAATTATTTACTTGTTAGTTTTGATTGTAAGTTCACCATCTTTTTCTGCAAGAGGTTTGGATAATCATCAAGTTCCATCAACTATTATTGGCAAATATGTAGTTTATTGGTGTTATTTTTTAAAAATATATATATATTAAATGCTATTTGAAAGAGTAAAATGTGCTATCACTCACAAGAAACATGCTGAAGGCAAACTCTAGCCAGTTGAAAAATACTGCCAATTCTACTGAACTGAAGAGCACCATGTGCTATTTCACAAGATGAAGGAAATCCAGATTGTTCTTCATTATCAAACTACAAAATTGACAAAGTAAATGAAGCATAACATTTCATTTTCATCAAGATACTCAAATTTTATTGCTCTGGAGACATAAAAAGGGCTGAGTAAAATCAGAACCTTCTGCTTGTAAGTTCTGCTCAACAAGCTGACCTAACTGGGAAGGCTGAGCATCACAGATGAAGTGCACTAACAAACTGCTTCTATGATTCTAAACAAATGGGGCAGCACTAAATAAACAAATTCCGAAAGTTACACAAGAGGGTCACAGCAGACTTCTTCAAAACAATCTTTCTGCAGAGCTAGAACATCCAAATGTATTATAAAAAAACTTTGTTTGTCCTATGGACCAGAAGCTCATAGTGCCATGGGAACTTGACCATCCTTCTGAACAGGCAGATGGAACATTTAAAAAAAAATCTCATCTGAAGGACGCCACCTTTAGCAATGTGGCTTAAACCCACAACTTACGGTACAGCAGCTAAAATCACTGCAATGTATGTTGTGCAAGACTCTGTGTAGATATTAAAAATATTCCAAAAGATGCTCAGAAATTCCACTATTAATAACAACCACAAGAAATTAAATGAAATTATACAGTGTAAATTCTTAGCATTATTAAGAAATGAAACAAGGAATAAACAAAACCACAATATGAAAACCCCACAATTGTTTCTGGAAGTATTCTACTAAAGGTGGTATATCAACTGCAAGGATGATTTATTAATATTGAGATGCCCAGAGGGATAAACTATTTCCATATCAATAAACAAGATGCAGGTGAGGCAGAACACACGATCTAACACTTTAAATTACTGAGAGGAATAGATATAGTAGGATAAAAGCAAGGTTAAAATATTGAAAGCCACATTAGTAGGCATAGGTGCAAGATTAAAATTAGAGGAACTTTTGCCTCATGTTTTACAACTTCAAACAAAAGCAAATGCTTTTAAAAATGAATGGACAAGTGTCTGCTTTGGAACTACAGTGGAGGATAGAGGTATACACAGATTGAGATGATCAAATTGATGAATGGGACACAATAGTATATGCTCTGTATATGTCACGGGGGTGGGGGGGGCGGTGGGGGGAGAGAGAGAATGCAGCCCACAGTCAGCAGAGAGAAAAAGCCAAGTGATTCAATGACTAGAGATGTCAGTATTTTAGCAGAATTTTCCCCCAGAAAAAGGTTAATGACAATATGAAAGCGCTTGGGAGGGGTATGGAGTATTTCAATTGACTTCATGGTACTTTCTTATTCCTTACTGTTTTAAAACAATGTAGATAAACCAAGAGGTCCCAAAATTGGTAAAACATTGTCACTAAGACAATGGATGGATATCTGGTTTACTTTCTTAAATGTTTAAGGACCTGACTCAACAGATAATTATCCAACAGTGTGATCCAACCGGAGTCTTAACTGTTGGAAGATGTAGCACCATAACGACGACAACAAATTACATTTGTATAGCACCTTTCACTTCAGGAGGACGTCCTAAGGCGATCAACTATCAGGGATCCGCACCTGAGATGGTAGTTGGGATCAGGAGGGGTCGAGGGCGGCGAGGGTTGGGTTAGGAGGGTGACCGAAGAGAAGGGTCTTGAGACGGATCTTGAAGGAGGCAAGGGAAGGACTATGGGATGGAGTTCCAGAGGGTGGGGGCAGAGAGGCTGAAGGCCCACCTACTAATGGTGGGGCAGGCAAGGTGGGGGACTTGAAGCAGGCTTCAATCAAATTCTGCAAAAAGATATTAATGAAGTATTAGGATCAGCGGTATTTAATATAGGAATCAGCAGAATCTTTGTCTCACATCTGGATTTTTTTCTCATTTTTAACCATCTGTTTATCATCACCAACATGTTACTTGCTTAAACCTCCACTTATTCAAACTCCTTTGAAATTACTGCACCATAATTATACAGTTAAAGGAATGCAATTATGCCACTCTGAGTTAATTATATGAGTCTGCTCTTCCTGTGTGCTGCTAATTTATTAGAAATAAGTGAATTTTAAACTGAAGAAACAGCACCATATGCATTTTGTTTTAAAATATAAAAGATACAATTCTGTAAAATTACAAAATGTAATTCCTACGGGGGCGAAACTAAGTGTTTATATTTTCACCAATCATATTGGTGAAGGCAGTAAGTTGTTCCTTAAATCAAATGACAATTCTGAAAGGAAGGTTTACTTTTTATAATAATTAGCTGAACAGTAATGGGAAATTTGACAGTGTACAATAGTCTACTTGTTTTACTATAGAGCATGAACTTGATAGACAAAGTAAATCATTCTTAGAATGGACCACACACTCATTGAAAGTTGTATGCACTGACAAAATCCAATGCTAAGAAGTTGATAAAAGAAATAAAGTTGGTGGAATTATCACTGTTAATGTTCAGGAGGTGAATGAAGATACAATGAATTAACCAATATGATCGAAGCCCTTCATTATCTCATCAGTTCAACCAACTAAGACCATACAGATATCACACCTTACAAAATATCAAAGGAATCTAAACAAACGCAAGAGACAATAACCTAATGGCTGTCTTTACCTAACTTCAAAGAAGGAAGGATGCAATAGGCAAAAATAGTAAAACATATTTTTTAAAAGAGCAGAGAAATACAGGAAAGAGAAAATAACAGATAATCATCAGATAACAATAGGTTATGCTTTTAAAATTCTTTCTGCTTGTATTTTTAGTAATTTTTAAAACAAAAATTGTATATTTTTATGTTTACTATTCTATTATAATAAAGCAATATGGATTTTGAAGCACTGAAGGTTTAAGATGCACAAAATGAATTCCTACAGGGTTTTCAGATCTTTGCAATGGTTTTAAAGTGCAAATCAATTGTCAAAGTAATTACAATAAATTGCAGAAATCAGTAC